CGAAGAGTAGATTGGATGGTTTTGCTACAGTTGGTAATTCATTTGCATAAAGTAAAAAGAGAAGAGGACCGAGGATTGTACCTTGGGGAACTCAACTTTTTACAGGTACCCACGAGGAGAGAGCTCCATTAACCCTTCCCCTTTGTCTCCTGTCATGGAGAAAGTTACTTATCCAATCTACGACTGTATAATGGATTCCAAAACGTTCCAGTTTGAATTTAAGACCAGAATGGGAGACCTTATCAAAGGCCTTACTTTGATCTATGAAGATCACATCCACATGAATATTTCCTATCTTTTGCAGCAGCCCAAACTTCTCTTGCAATGAGAAGATTTGTCAAGCATGATAGGCCTCTTCGAAAACCATATTGTTCCCTGGGGAGAAGATTATGCCCTTGAACATAGTTTATAACAGATATTCGAATGATTTTTTCCATCAGTTTTACAACCGCACTAGTTAAGCTAACGGGTCTATAGTTACTGATTAAATCCCTACTCCCAACCTTATACAGCGGACTTATTATAGTGTCTTTCCAGTCTCTTGGCAGTCTGGACTGCCTCAGAGACATGGCAAACAGTATCGTTAATGGTTCAGCAATTACATCTGATATGGCTTTCATAATCCTAGGATGAATATAATCAGGACCACTGGACTTATTGGATTTGAGATGCTGAAGTAGCCTTAAGACAGTAACTTTCTCAATGACTACAGGGTCCATCAGCGAGCTGCCACGACCACAATGAATCGTTGGTCGTTCTTCATTACTGATAGAAAACACTTTACTGAAATATTCCGATAAAGCTTCAGCTTTTTCGGTATCATTTCTTGCCAAGATTAACGGATATTCTTGTATCAAAAGTGATGGAATTCCATCGCTTCTCTGAGTTCGCCTTTTTATGTACGAGAATAACCGTTTTGGACTATATCTAGGATCCCTAATCAATTGTTTTTTCATATGATCGTCTAGTCTTACTTATTAACGCTTTACAGGCATTCCTAGTCTTATAATAACTGGATCTGTATTGTTCTAAGCCAGTAGAGATGAACATATTCCAGTGCTTCTTCCTTTTTCTAAGGAGCTTCCTGACTATTATAGTTATCTGTGGTGGACTGTTATTCGGTCTTCGCGGTACCAGGTATGTTATGAACGAGGACGTAACTAAACTAAACTTACCTTTAAATACAGACCATGCTTCTTCAACTGATAAGCTAGTATCTACAAATCAATCTGTCTTAGCAGCGCATTCCTGAATGGCTGATATGTTAGCTTTCCATACATTTGTACGTCCCTAGTTCTAAACGTGAATGACAAAACAGCGTGATCGCTGTTCACTAACGGTGGAAGAATATTTAGGTCGACAATATCCTCAGTCTCATGAGTGATTACCAAGTCCAACAGAGAACCTTGGTTAGCACCAAAACGTGTGGGTTTGGATACATGCTGCACTAGTGCATGCTACATTATTGTTATCAGGAACCTGCTATCAAAGTAGTTTATAGATCCTTCCGTGGTCATCCCAGTCCAATTAATATCAGATGCATTAAAGTTTCCTATTATCAAGAATCTGTTATTTGCACTCCATAGCTGAATGTGCTCTAAAATAAAGTCATCAGCTAAGCAGATTGGGCTGCGATAGATGACACCGAGCATAAATGTACCACATACGATAGCCAATTTACAGCTAATGACTTTACAAGTACCGCTATCATGGGATTCGCTAGCAGAGGAGCTATATATATAAAAGGACGCCACCTCCCTTCCTACACCTATGTCTATCACTACTTAGGTAATCGTATCCGGATAATTCTGGAGTAATGTCTAAGTCATGGACTAACCAAGTTTCTGTCACTGTTACAATGAGTGGCCTTAATTTGTCCACTAATGCTTCTAGTTCATAGAACTTATTTCTTAGACTATGAGCGTTGGCATATAAAACTCCTAGATAGAACAGCCTATCCACACAGGCCTTGGTAGCATTCCCTTCCAAGACCTGACTATCCGAAAACCCACTAACCGGAGATTTTCCTCACCGTTTTGTCGACGGGTTTCTAGTTCAGCTAGTGCTTTCTTCCTTTTTATTCTATATTCAAGAGACATATCAGGTCTAACTCGGATGTCGGAATTGTCGTGACTACAAGCGCTACTTAACAGGAGATCACGTTGCATTCTCCGACCCTAGGATTACCTTAAGGAGTCTTCATGATCGGGGTTCGGCATTGTCCTCGGTCCTCTTGCTTATTCTAACCAGTTTTCTGACCTGAACTCCTTTAGAGTTATCTGCCAATATACTACGAATATATTCTCCCAGCTTCTCTAAATCATGCGCGTGTCTAATTTTGGGATCAGGGTCGTTTGACTCCAGCAATCTTCTCACAATAATATGCTATGAGATTAGATTCTCCTTCTCAGTCATCACGCCAGGGTGGGTTTCCCTCCTACTATCATACTTTGGTAGTGCATTTTGTGAATCACAATGGGAGTCCACCAATGACTTGCTAACCAGCTGCGTACTGCCTACAGCTTTTTCCTTTTCGTTTCGTTTTCTCCGTACTGTAGTTCATTTTTCATCCCTCAGGACACTGGAACTATTTGGAGTGGTGACGGTTTTATCCAGATCTTCAGTTTCCACTAGAGGTGCATGATTACCAATGTCAGGTGGTACTTACCCCCTCGTTAATCAACTGATGTTTTCGTTCAACTTGACTTACGATATAGTACACACGTCTTTGTATGTCGTGACTCGTATGGACGACCTCTCGAATCAGCGTACGAAGGAGCCCTCAAAGTTCTTCAGTGCGAATCTAAGTATAATCGATAACAACGGAACTAATGATTGCATCAGCACCGATCCTCCCAAAGCAGTGTATTTAGAAGGAAATCTTAATCATGTCGATTTTCCTTCGGTGCGGTTGGAAGACACCAGTCTCGCAATTACGATACCCAACCCGATAGTGAGCAGTCACGATGGCATCTGACAACCGACTCAAAACAACGCGTTCTGGAAGAAGAGTAAGGTTTCCAGAACACCAGACGATTACTGCACGTAAGATACTACACAATACTTTGTTTCATCTCGATGGTTTTCGTATTGTGTCAAGAAACAAACTGATTTTAATATGCTCGTATATATATATATATATATATATATATATATATATATATATATATATATACGCCAAAAGAAAATAACCAACTTTTCTTGTTGCCAATATGCTTGCTTAAATATTTTTTTCGAAAAAAACCAAAATATCATTATGCGAAAATCACTTTTACGCTATCGCATGTATGTAAGTTCATTTTCCTTTTTTCTCTCGTTTTGTGTCTACGCCCGTACGAGTGTAATTCGACATGCACTTACCCATCCTTTCCTTTTCTTTTCTAGAACGGCTGGAAAAGGTGTAAACACGACGAAGTTTACGATGAATCGGAATTTCCATTGTACCTATTTTCCATTACTATATTGTACTACATAGCCCCCTATAGTAAAGAAATGACGACCAAAATCAATAGCTCTGTACATCTTCGACATTTGATGCTGACCACATTAGTTTTAATGAACTCACCTATATGAAGGCTATCGGTCACGCATCTGCACCAGATCACGAATGGGTACGCTGTTTCCAACTTCTCCTACAACCTCTAGCCAGCTTAGATCAGTCACTTCTCGATATATAGATAGCCTATCAAATATATCTTCGAACCTCTTCTCTTCTGACTTCTGGTTTCACTGGATTGGCACGTTTCGATTATAGGTGTTACTGGCTAAGGTGTTGTCAAACTCCAAATGCTTGTGGCATCCTTAGTTATTAAACATTTGTTATCCTATACTCTGAGACTTACAGTTATAATCCAAAGAGCAGATGATGACATCTAAATAGAGAAAATGTGTTCAAAATCATATCTTTTTCCTCGATAAAAATGTTTATAAATATTTGCACATCATATGATAAGGCCAGACACCTGGTATTAAGAGTATAGAGATGCTGAGTTGCTGGCTGTGTTATTGTTCTTCTGTGGCCCCTACGGTGACGCATTCTAGCTCATTTTTACATAGGGAGTTCATACTATATCCTTATGCACAATCTTACTTTTATGTATTACTACCATTGAAAAAGCAATTGGCGATCATGCTCCAACTTCCTTTCAACAGTTTTGTGAATGCTGACGTAATTTCTTGAACCGAAAAAAAACTTTTTTACTTTCTCTACCTTTTCGTAACCCAGTTGTCAGTGTGTGGCACATATGTATTTGGTGCCTCCTTGTAATAATATATGTGTTAAACAACTGACCACCACTACAACCCTATATTTCTAAGCGTAAGGACCGAGAAGCCTGGTGGTCAAAGCGTGCTAATGAGCTGGAAGCAGCAGCTGCATCTGGTAATTACCGGAAGCTTTTCCAACTCATCCAAGCCACTGGCAGCAAGAAGTCTGGTGTGAGCGAGACAATCTGTGAGGATGATGGGATGCCAATCACTAACATCCATCGACGTCTTGGACGATGGGCAGAACTTTTCGAAGGGCAGTTCAACTGGCCTGCTGCTCCGGCAACATCGGTCAGACTGTCCTGCCCTCCATGGCCGGTGACGACTGATCCACCAAACGAGGAGGAAGTCCGCAAGGAACTCCAACTCTTGAAGCGTTACAAATCACCTGGCCCAGATGACTTACCTCCGGCACTTTTTAAAGATGGTGGTGACTTTCTGGCTAAGGAACTGGCTGTGTTGTTTACAAAGGTCTGGGAACTAGAGAGTGTACCAACGTCATGGAATGAGTCGATAGTTGTCCCTATCTTTAAAAAGGGTTCACATCGTTCCTGTAACAAGTATCGGGGGATAATTTTACCTCCGATTGCGTCCAAGCTATTGGCTTCCGTCATACTTCGTAGGTTGTTCCAAACTCGAGAAACATTGACTCGCGAGAAGCAGGCTGGGTTTCGTTCCGGTCGAGGATGTATTGATCATATCTTCACCCTCCGCCAAATGTTAGAACACCGCCATACTTATCAAAGGCCAACAATCTTAGTGTTTCTTGACATCAGGGCTGCCTTCGATTCGTTGGACAGGACTGTTCTCTGGGATTGTCTATTGAAGAAGGGTGTGTCTGAGAGGTTTATTAACATCCTAAAAGCCCTATATACAAACACCTCAGGCAGAGTGAAGGCATACAACCACCTCTCTCCATTGTTCCATTCGAGCCGTCTAGCTGTAAAAGGTCGGATCTACAACACGTCGGTGAGAGCAGTTCTGCTCTATGCTTGTGAATCCTGACCTCTTCGAGTTGAGGGCGTTAGACGACTCTCTGTGTTCGATCATCGTTGTCTCCGAAGGATTGCTGACATCCAGTGGCAACACCATGTCAGTAATGCAGAGGTTCGGCATCGTGTGTTCGGGCACAGAGACGACAATGCAATTGGTGTCACCATCTTGAAACACCGACTTCGGTGGTTTGGATATGTTCTACGAATGTCGTCCCAGAGAATTCCACGTCGTGCATTATTTGCCGACTCTGGGACTGGTTGGAAGAAGCGGAGAGGTGGTCAGTGCATAACATGGTTTCGTGGCATTAAAGGAAGCTGCAAATGGCTGGCTTCTGTTGGTCCTTCACGACTCCCTGGTTGGGGTCCGAGAGATGGTGCAACACAATGGCTAGAGAGACGTTATCAGATATGGCTCAGAATAGAAGCCAGTGGCGATCCTGCTGTAACCTTCTTTTACTTTCTTCATAAAGTGTTTGTGCCTCCCTTAACTGAAGGATCCCTTCTGATTGTACCTTTCCATCCCCTCATTATTACTACACTACATTACACCAACCACTTTAATATTGTTCTCTTTTTTTGCGCTCCTTAGCTTTTTTCTCTTCGAATTCTTATTGTTTTGTGTGACGCATATATATTGGCGCTTTCTTGTACCAATATTCATGTGTTCAAATAAATAATAATATTTTCTAAGCTATTCATTCAGTGTTTAGGGCGCACGTATTCGCTCTAGTGCGAATTACCGGTGTTCTCGTGACACTACCTAGCTTCCTCACACTAAAATTTTCAACTAGCACAATTGAGCTCAGTATCATGACCATTTTAGGACTACATAATATAATAGATTTGACTGGAAAAGTGGGGGCTGAAACCTGTTTCTTAAACGCCATAACTGACTTGTGAGCTTCGTAATGAATGTTTTGGTAATTAGACGTACGTATCAGATTTGGAATACATTTCTGTGGTAGGTCATAATAAATTAAATTTAAGCCTACATTCAAAGTGATAAGACAGCAACAGTCAATCGTAACCCAGTCAAATGTAACAAATTGGCTTTTCACGTTAACTACAGCCCCCAAATGCACTGGTACGGTCGAGAGCGAGGAGATCCAGCTCTTCTTCTCAAAATGATCCCACATGGCCACGTGCATAAAACCACTGCCAGGGAAGTCGTACTCACTGCCTTCTCGCTGCGGGTTTTTTCTACGAATATCCGGCGCTTTAAAGGGTGGTGGACACGGAGGGTCCGCTAAGTTAAACAGCGTCCACGGCCCCCAGGATCCTTAGGAAGCGAATAGCGTGTAGACATCTGTTGGTCGCCGCTACCACCAGACTATATCCTAACATTGCTCCACCGCCCTAAGGACTAGACCTTTCGGTCGAAGGCACATGTTGTGGCCCCCTAGGGAAACCACCCGATTCAGTTTAGGCAACCGGGCAGTATCCCAGAGCATATCTATTTGGTGCTTCCTTGTACCAATGCTTATGTGTTGAGATAAAATTAATGTTTGGAAAAATCAAGAGCATAATCAGCTTGTCGATAATTAATTAAACCAATGAGATACAAGAAAAGAGGATAAATTCCGATTGTTATGAGTAATAAAGTCATGAGTACAATTCCACATTGAGTACTTATACTTATCGACTACACAGATTTACCGGTAACACTAACATGCGATGGATTAGACTGGCACTTAATGCTATTTCTCAGTATGCAACGTTTGTGTTTAATATTCGATACTTAGATTACCACATGTAATCAAATATCAAGAAAACTGATCAAATGACGCGGTATGCGCAATTAGATTGCCATCCACTTAGCGAGCAGAATTTAGTGTGTACATACATATTGTCACTACTTCAACGCATAGTAAAACAATTATATAAGAAAGATTAGTTCAGCACCAATCTTTCTCATTTAATTTCTTAACGGGTGTATTCCGTTTATTAAAAAAAAACAATTATAATCAAATACAAACTTTATAATGTTAGCATAATCACTAAATGCATTCCATATTAACCGGATTTGAACAAAAGGATTGCAACTTGTCCAGCGTAAAAGTAGATAAAGTGTTTTGTTTCATGTGTTACGTAGCTCCCAAAGTTCCTCCCAACGACACAATGCCACGTTGGATTATGTTTCTTGTCGAACTATTTCATAAAATATAAAAGAATGGGACATACTTCTTTCTTAATATATGCAGCAATATCTTTCTCGATGTTGTACTTTTCAAATGCTTGGGTTGCTGCCTCTATCGCATCTTGTTGCATTTCCTCGGACATATCTACATTTTTGATAACAGCCTTCCTGGATCCGTCACCCATCTCCAGCAAGATAATCAACGCACACCACAGCGAACGAGATCAGAATTACAGTGATATACAGGTCGTTTGTCTGCAAAACGACCTAACTGATATGTGATTGGTTTGTATTTAGTAAGTTGGCTTCAGTGGCATTCTATTGGACGCGACATATTCCACCCACGTAATCGTATTCCTATTGGTAAACGGAATAATTAGACAGATATGGTCGCTGCTAGTGTGACATCCAGCTACCTATTGGCTTAGTCACTATGATTGTGGGCATAGCATATTTTCTCTCCACTCATCCTGACAACCAATCAAATCTTTGAGCTAGTGGCGCGAACTGCGTCCTTTCCGAGGTCACAGCAAAACAACATGAATACTGTATTTTGTTCATCATTTCGCTTCGTCCAGTTTACAGTTTCGGTGGAGTTGTAGTTGCTTGGAATCAACCAAGTTTGCTTCTTTTGACTACATTTGTATTGCTAATGTTGTGAGGAGGAGCTGAATAAAATTCCCCATCGTTTTCCATTTAGGAGGAATGTTGTAGGTTGATTGTGTGGTATTATTATTATTTTGTATTAACTGTTTTATAACTGGATAGAGTTTCCTGATTAGCTGGTAAGTCGCCAAGGTCGTCTGTATATTATACTTTTACCGAGTGTTGTAGATTTGTATTTTCCGAATGTCAGAAATCAAATCCATCGTCTCAAAACGTTGGATTCCACGCTATTTTTTCATGTTAATGTTGTGATTATCGCCGGTTTCCAGCACTAGGCTGCTCTGTCGCAGGTTGGGATGTTCCCCGTTCACCCTTGCCTATGTTGCGTTCATTTTAATTCCTCATAGCCTTCAGTGTAGTCAACAGGCGTTTTACTAACCACCGTTTGCTGTACTGGTATGTCATAAGCGCCATCTGAAATGTGAAATCGAGCCTTTGGTTTATTGAAATTGGGCAATGGTGTTATTGGGGCTACTGAGTAAACTTGCACTATTTTCAGAAATGTTTCCTTGTATGCATCAAATTGCTTAAGTAAAGTTATGACGCAATTTGTGCGGTTTTCGCAGTGGTCTTAGTTTAAGGGGATGCCTAGATAATCTCAAAGGTTAGCTAGATGTGCTAAACAGGCAATCTCGTTTAAAGGCAGCAGGCTGTATTGCCCTGAAATCACTCGACCTCGTGAGAAAATCCTAACATATTATTCACTCTCAATCCAGGAGATTGGATAAATGGGCAGAACAATTTAGGGATCGGTTGAACTGGCCCTCAGCCACACTTCGGTTTCCCACTATCTCCATTCGACCTGATGTAAGTCCTCCAACTCTTTACGAAATTGAAAAAGCTATGGAGAATCTGGAGCGTGGGAGAGCAGCGAACACTGACAGGTTCACCCCTGAGATTTTTAAGGATGGCGGTCCAGTATTAGGAGTGAGATTGACTGAGGTCTTAGGTAGGATCTGGGAACCGGACGTAATCCCATCTGACTGGTCTCAATCACGGATCGTGCCAGTCTATAAGAAAGGAAAAACAGTCCTCTTGTGACAATCTTAAAGGAACCAGTTTGACTAATATAGTGTCTAAAATATTAGCTTCAATACTACATCGACGCCTAACTAAAGCTCGTGAAGAGCAGACTAGAGAAAAACTTGCTGGTTTTCAACCTGGACGTGGCGGTATAGACCGGTTATTCATGTTCCTTTCTTTCTCTTTCCAAATTTATTTCACTGGATTATGCTCCTTAAATATCATCTCCCAACCCTGATGTATCCGATTACTGCTTATACTCTTACTACCTTTACCACTATGGGATGTGAATCGACAATTGTATCTCTGTGTTAATGTGGTATGGCAACTCAGACTGAATTACGAACGTACGAAAATATACGTTGCGACTGACTGAATGAGCCAGCCGAGCATCATACGGGAGCTTCGCTATCCCGGGAATCAGCTTAGTTGCTGTTCTCTGAACCTCTTCCAAGTCTCACAATATTTTTTAAGAAGGGGCTAGCCGATTGTATGCAATTCTAAATTTTAGGACGCATGAATACTGTATACAAAGCCAAAAAACTTTTAGCGTCGACGTGACTAAAGGCCCCACGTATTGACCATAAAGTTCTAAAACATTTGGCGGCTATCGCACGGCAGCGTGCAGTCGTCTTTAAGTCATGGCTAACGATGACTCCTAAGTCATTGTGTGCCTGGACAACAGTGTCATTCACCATGTACGTACCTGTGCCTTAATGACGGGTATGCATCACAATACACTTGAAAGTATTTATCGGCAACTGCCAAGTTTGAGACCATCCAGATAATTTCTCCAGGTCATTTTGGAGTTCTAAGCTATCACCCTTACTTCGTATCGCTCTCCATATCTTGACATCGTCAGCATATAGCAAGACCGATGATAATAGGAGACGAGGAAGGTCATTTACATACAAGAGGAATAACGCTAGCCCCAAAACTGTACTCTGGGGTACTCTACTAAGCAGTTTCTCAGTTAGACAACTTGGAGTTCTCCCATACTCTGTTGGCGCCCAACTAGGAAGTATTTTATCCACGTCAATAGATTTCCTCCAACCCCGACATTTCTTAACTTACATAACAGCCGGTTGTGCTGAACTTTGTCAAATGCTTTGCTGAAGTCAATGTAGTCTACGTCTACGGGTAAATTTTGGTCCTTAAGAGCGCACCAGTTTTCACGAACCACTAATAAGTTAGTGAGACAGGAATAACCTATTCTATAACCATGTTGCTTTTCCGAAAGGATCCGGTTCTCATCGAGATACTTAAACAGCTCCTTCTGGATAATCTTCTATAAAATCTTAACAACCACACTAGTTAGGCTAACGGGTTGGTAATTCTCAGGTTTACGTTTGTACCTGTTTTGGAGACAGGACTTACTATGGCGTTTTTCCAGTCTTTTGGTAAACGACCCTGAGTTACGGATAGATTAAGGCATATACTCAATGAAGTTAGCTAATTCCTTTAGTAACCTAGGATGCCGTCCATCGGGTCTCGTGGATTTGCTTATGTCAAGCTTATTTACCAGACCAAAGACATCGAGTTCTTCAACGTTCATGCTGGCCAGTGTGTGTGTGGGGATTTTTATGGACTGACGGAAAGGGTGTTTTCACGGTATATAAATTGCTAAAATAGTTTGAGAATACTTGGGCTTTACCAAAGTCGTCCTCCACTAATAATGAGGCAGTACTGTCTCCCTATAGTGCCGGAATATTTCCTCTTCTTTTTGTCCTCTGGTCTATATACCGTGGATATGGATGTGTCCAGACTGTCAGTTTATCCTTACACTACACAGGTTTAAGATTAATTTGATCGAGTTAAACTAAACTGATATATATATATATATATATATATATATATATATATATATATATATAGTGCCGTATACTGCTATGGTTTGAGATTATCATAACTAACTCGATTAACTTTTGGTTCCTTGGATTTCAGTACTACAAATTCAAGATTATATGCTCCAAAACAATCATGGGCTGACTGATTTGTGGATCGGGCTGTTAATGACCAAGACGACGTAGCCACAGCTTTCACCTTGGATGTATTCAAAATGTAACTACGTAAACCAGGAAATCTTGTTCGAAAATGACATCTCCCAATGAATCAGGAATGTGGTGTTATCCAATTACATAAAATTTTGTTCATGTTTGTAGATCCACATTAAAAAAATAAATTACAATATAGATCTCTGAACCTTGCTTTTAGTATATACACGGGTTTAAGTTTGATATCCAACATTTCGAGCTTCTGACGACAGTTTCTTAGATCCTCGTATTTGCTTATTTCAGTAGTTTTATTGTCACTTGCAATTGAGGCCGTTTCAGTATGTATTTTCTTGCGCTGCCTTGGATCACTACACATATTCTATAGTTGATTGTTATATCGCAAGATAATACCGGTTTTATTTTGCAATCATCTGATCTAGACATGGGAATGCAGTGTGAATGTAAATTGGTTTATACAGACTGCGATGCATACACTTAATACTACTTCCAGGATTGCTTATTTCCGCATCGGACCGTTGTTAACACGTAATTAATTAAACATGCTACTGGACCGAACTGTAAGTTAAAAACCTTAGAATTTATTGTTGTAACATTTACTGATAGACCACTTCTGGTGTCATTTACCATGTAACCACTCCATCTTGATAATTTAGTCAAGCCAGTCCATCTCGATAACATAAAAATCCATTGGATGATAAATATAAAGACTCATATCCTTTTAGTGTTGCTCAGTCAGTTGCTCATTAACTTCGGATTAAGAAAATAAGCCTAGATAACATGGATTTGCATAACCAATGTGCAGTTAGTTTATCTGCATTTAGAAAGTGTAACAATTGAATGCTCAAGTGAATAGCTTATCCCACATGGCGTAGTTATCTATCAGTGAACGGCATCAGAGTTCGGTCGTTTTGCTAAAACGCACGTGAATGTTTAAATGCAAAGAAGTCCTACTACAATGAACTTAACTCAAGGAAGATTTATTCAGATAATAAGAGATTACTTCACATCTTTTATATGTTCCTTTTGAGCCACTTCACAGGATGCGTCAATTTACCCAAGAAGTAAGAGGAATAAAAATCGTGACTATTAGGGCATGACGTTGCGAACGAGAAATTACAGACACGTCGGTATATAGCGTACAGATCTTACAGTTCGAGAGGTACCAAGAGATACGGAATACAACCCGGCAGGGCATAGTACAAAACCTGAGAGGATTACCATATACTTTTACCGAAACTTCAGTCATCACACTTTTGTCTGGTAGATGTAGCATTAGACTTGACTTACAATTGTGGTGCGTGCTACTTATATTGATATAAGTAGTATATAACGCGAGTTGAAGAACGCAATGTTTGGCAGCAGAAGATGGGGGAAGAGCGAGAACACAATGGAATTTGTAAGAAACCGCATAAACAATCAAATGTGAGACAATGGATTGATGATCGCAACAGAAACAGTCCGGTTTGATATGATGGAATGAT